TCATCTCATTAAGGGGGATATGATGGAATGAGGTTACAACCATATTGGTTGCAGTTAAGTAGGACACTGGGGCAAAGAGCTCAACGAGCTGAGCATATGCTTTGAATGCAGCAGGGTTCCATCATTACTACATAGACCCCAAGGACCTCTAGGAGTGACCTCTGAGCACAAAGCCAGGAGTAACCTCTGAGCACTGCCCGGTATGGCCCTCAAATGAAAAATAAACTGACCAGAGAGATGGGGTGTGTGCTCTGGTGCTAACTGTCCTGGCTTCTACACAGTGGCTCAAGGTCCAGAGGCTTGCTGAGGCGTTGGGGGTATGGCAACCATGAGCCAGACCACATTTCCCTGTCCACATGAGCAGTTCCAAAGGCAAGGAAGAATTACTTGCCATCCTCCATGACGGGGTTGCTGGACACTGCAGAGAAAGCCCCTTTTATGGGTTGCTGGGCACCAGCTTGGCCTCAGCCCAGGTCGCTGCCCACATCAGCTGTGCAGGCAGAAACACTTTGGTGTGGCCTTTGGCTTGCATTCTGAGACTGAGTCTGGAAGCTCCAGATACAAATGACCCTGATTGTTTACAACCAGACTGAAGGAGTCATGGCAGGCGGGACTGCAGAACTTCCTAAATCCCTGCATCTGAGCAGTCACTAAGGAATTAGGTGGGGGAGGGGGGTGTCAGACCCAGACCTTGCCCTGGAGCTTGAACATTGCCCTTGGGTACCTGCCAAGCCACCAGGTGGTCCTGCCCTCTGGTTGGCCAGTAAACCACCTCAGTGCTTGTCTCTCTACTAAAGAACAGAGCACGGATCCAAGGAAGACGAAGCTTGGGAGCAGCTAGTGGGAATTTGCAGAAATCTCGCTTGGCTCTGGTAGAGCTGAGAAGCTCTGATTATCCCCCTCCAGGTTTCCCCCTAGTCCCTCTCCACCCCTCCCCTGCTTCCTCCCTTCTCCCCATCCTTTCCTTCTTTGGCCTCTGACTGTGGTTTTCTTTGAAGGAAGAAATGATTTTGCCCCAGGAAACTCATTTATAGCAAAATGAGTGAAAGGTCCGGGCACTGGCTCCCCCGTGGGGCTCGTTCTCGGGTTATTGCTTTCACTCGCCTTCATCCGGCTCACTGGTGCTTGGAACCCCTCCCGCCCACAACACACCTGGTTTCAGCTGGAAGGGAGAGGACTGTAGCTTTTCATCTTCTGGGCCTCTTTGTTATTATTGGAGCCAGGGTTTGGCCCAGGATCAGACAGGGGATGGGGCCGAGGAACTGAATTTGGAAACAATTCCAGAGGCTGGAGAAGAGAGAGGTTGCCTGGGGCTTTGGGGAGGCCGGCCTGTCTGACACGGGGCAATCCTTTGGAGGAGCAGGTATGGATGAGACACAGATCTTAGGGTGCCTCGCTGGCTTCAGACTCCTGAGGAAAGCCTTCTTAGACCCCTCATGATGAGAAGTAGAGGGGCAGAGGCTGTACTTGGGCCATCCAGAGGCTGGGTTGGGCCAGCAGTGCTCAGAGCTTGTTCCTGACTCTGGGTGCAGGAGGGGTCTCCTGGACTCCTGGAGGAACTCAGGGGACCATGTGTGGTGCCAGGAACGGGGCTGGGGTCAGCTGTGTGTGCTAGCACCATAAGCCCTGATGAGAGATTTAAAGTGAGAGGCGCCTCAAGAATGAAAAAAAGCAAGGAGGGTTAAGTGCCCAAAAGCATATGCCGCTTTTCCTGAGGCGGGAGATTGCTTTGTGGGGGATAGTTTATAGGTTTGTGGTTACTATTTTCCTTAAAAACTAGCTTATTTCCTAGCCCGTATTTATTTATATGCATATATTTAATGTAGCTTGAGGAAAAAAAAAACAAATTATCCTTTAGCATGCCTAAGAGGATTTCGTCTGTCCTCTGTTTCTGGATCTTTATGGTGTGCATATCTGGTACAAACCGTTTTCCCAGAAAAATACCAAGGGAGGGCATTTTGATGGGATTTTAAGCTTATTTAAAATTAATTGCAGATTCATTTCACTGCACATTCATTGAGGGGCTTTTCTCTTTCCATTATTAATATGAAGCAATAGCGAAGGCCCTGCCAGAAGGCTGGAGGAGGACGTGGCGCTGTGAAGTCTGGCGAGGGCTCCCGCTGCAGGAGGGACGGCTGGGCTGTGTAGTGGGGCGACCGCTCCAGCCTGGCTGTGCCTCAGTGAACCCCAGGCCTGGTGCTGCCGAGAACATTGCTCCCAGGGTCTCAGTCCACTTCCTGCTTCCCTTCCACCCCCATCCAGTCTGGCAGCACTGAGAAGGCATGAATGGCATCTTTGCTCTCCCAGCGGCTAGAGAGAGGGGGCGGAGAGCAGGCCCAGATGGGTGGCTACCTGGTCATTAGCATCACTCACTCCCAAATTTCAGTTCTTCTGTGTTTCCCTGGCATTGGGCATCTGCATGGGTGGTGAGACGGGCCCTGGTGGGCCACTGAACAGCAGGTGATATCCATAGAGAACCTAGAGAAGGTGATGGACCCCCCAGTCTGTTGGAGATGGGGGAAACCCTAGGCAGGTGGCTCCTACTCCCTTATCTTGTGTCTTGCTGGAGCAAACCACCTCTGGGATGAAGAGCAAGAGAGTCGGGCTTGCTTGGGCTTGAGAGTCACCCACCAGCTTTCCCTAGGACCCTGGGGTGCCCCAGGATGCCAGGGTGAGAGGTGAAATGATTGCTTTCTGTTTTATATAACACTCCCTTTTATTATGATCCGGCCTCCCGGTGGTGGGTTTAGGGACTGGGGTTGGGATGACTAAGCTATAAAGTAAGTGAAAATGAGTGTGTTGGCTTCTCCCCTGGGCACCTTGTTTTAACATAGTTTACACAGTTGTTTTTCTGGAAAGGAGAAAAAAAAAGAAATCACTTGGTTATTTTCTCCTCTGGAGATGCCCACAATCTCTCTTGGACGCCCCTCCCCTCCACATCTCTCTTTCTCTTTATCGCTCTGTTTTTATCTCTGTCTGTCTCTGTCTCTGTCTCTCTCTCTCTCACTCCCTGTCAAAATAAGCCTGCAGCCAGCTGTCTCTCTTCATGTTCCTCAGACAGCATGATAAATGAGCAATCCCCAGGATCCCTGAAGCCCCAGCTGCCTGATTGCCACTCTAGCCTTGCAGCCGATGGCAAATATTGCGTCCACCTCCCCACAGGTGATTGAATTTTCTCCTCAGCATCAGGTTCTCTGGAATCCCTCTAGGATCTGGGGGTCCTAGTGCCCTGGTAGCACCACTGCATTATTCCCCCTACAATGAGCCTTTGCTACCATACCCCAGTTTCTTCTTTTTTTTTTTTTTTAAATTTTATTGAATCACTGTGAGATAGTATAAGCTTTCATGTTTGGGTTACAATCACACAATGATCAAACACCCATCCCTCCACCAGTGCACATTCCCCAACACCAATATCCCCGGTATACTTCCTCTTTCCCCACCCTTGCCCTGCCTCCACGGCAGACATGATTCCTCCTAATCTCTCTCTACTTTGGGGCATTATGGTTTACAATACAGACACTGAAAGGTTATCATGTTTGGTCCTTTATCTACTTTCTGCACACATCTCCCATCCGACCGATTCCTCCAGCCATCATTTTCTTAGTGATCCCTTCTCTATTCCAGCTGCCTTCTCCCCTTTGCTCATGAGGCAGGCTTCCAGCTATGGAGCAATCTATCCGTCCCGTGTATCTAGAGTCCTTGGGTGTCAGCTTCATGTTATGTTGTTTTATCTCCACAAATGAGTGCAGTCCTTCTGTGTCTGTCCCTCTCTTTCTGACTCATTTCACTTAGCATGACACTCTCCATGTCTATCCATTTATAAGCAAAGTTCATTACTTCATCTCTCCTGGCAGCTGCATAGTATTCCATTGTGTTGATGTACCAAAGTTTCTTTAACCAGTCGTCTGTTCTAGGGCACTTCCATACCCCAGTTTCTAAAAGGAGCTGTAGCCACATCTCCAGAGGCTGAATTTACTGTTTACTTGTGTTGGTGGATTCTGGAGGTTTGGAAGAACAAAGTCAGCTCTGTGCATTCATGCAACTCTCGGTCTCACCCTGCTGAAAATGCTCCTACTTTTTCAATCTCGTGCCCAGCAAACGAGCAATTCCATCTTCTAGCTGGAGGGTTCCTTTGCATTCAGCCTCAAGTATGAACCGTGGTCTTAAGGTTGGTCCTCACTGTGACACTGGAGTTTTAAATTTTTAATTTTTAATTATCCATTTTAACGTTTTTATTATAAGTTAGGTAATAGGTTTTTAATAGTGTTCAAGTTTGTGATAATGGGCTGGAGAGATGGTAGAGCAGGTAGGGCAGTTGCTTTGCATGTGTTCAACTAGGGTTTTCTCTCTGGCATCCCACATAGTCCCTCAAGCTCCTGCAGGAGTGATCCCTGAGCACAAAGTCAGGAGTAAGCCCTGAGTACCATTGGGGGTGCCTCCCCCCAAAAGTTTCTCATATTGCTGTATGAAGGCACTGCATGTCTCCACTACCAAGTGTCTGTGCCCCCGATGTACCTCTGACCCAACATTTCTTCCCACACCTGCCACCCTGATCTGTTTATCACAGTATGGTTTGGTGTATACTGTCACCTTAGCACCACTCTGCTCAAAACCCTCCACCAATATTCTCACGTTTCTGCTAATCAATCTGTTCATTCCTCACAGCCTTTGTCTGCCCTGTAAACACTAAGAACCCTAAAATAGAGCTTTAGAAATGAGTCTCCCTTGCCAGCACAATAGCACTAAAAACCTGTTGCTGATGGTAAGTAGGGGTTTTGTGAAACCCTGGGAAAGCAGATCGAAGACTATACCCAGTTTCCTAGACTCTCACCTGTAGTAGAAAGGAGATGCTAGGATATTCAGTAGCTCTGTCACTTGGGCAGTTTGGGGATAATGGTAATTACAAAGATTGTGCTTGAAATATAACTCTTTGGAAGCTATAACTTATAACTTGTAACTTAGAAATTATAAGTGCTTTGGAAGGCTTAAAAAGATTGAAGCCTATTCTTTCAGGGATCATTTCTATAGTTCATTACTAGAGTTTCTCTGAACATGTAGAGCACCAAAAACCATGAGGAAGAACCAGAGAATATTCTCCTGAGCATGAAGCTGGTTTAAGGTGTTGCTTCTGCAACTGCCTTTTACTATTGATGATCGTTCTCTTCCTTCAGAAGGGTGAGAAGGAGAGTATGTAGTCTGAGTGGTTTCATGATTAAAAAAAAAAAAAGACAATGTCTACCAAACCCTGATGAAAGCTTTTAGGAAAAAGTTAAATAAATGGAGATATAGTCTGTATTCATGGACAGGAACAGTCATAATTGTCAAGATGTCAAGTATTCCAAGTATATCCATAGATTTAATGCAACTTCCACTCAAATTCCAGAAATTTAATTTTGAAGATTGACAAACTGGTTATATAGTAAATATGGAGAAGCAAAGGCCTAGATAGCCAACTCAATATTGAAGTATGAAGACTGACATAATCTGACTTTAAAAACAGTTAAATACAATAATCAGGGGGATGGAGTGGTAACACAGTGGGTAGGGCGTTTGCCTTGCATGTGCCGACCCAGTTTGATTCCCAGCATCCTATATGGTCCCCCAAGAACCGCCAGGAGTAACTCATGAGTGCAGAGCCAGGAGTTAGCCCTGAGCATCGCCGGGTGTGACCCAAAAAGAGAAAATAAATAAACAGTAATCAGGCCTTGTCATAAGAATAGACAATGAGAGAAGTTCTGGGAGTTGGCATCCTGCTTCAGCTTCCCAGTAGTATCCGAACCCTGCCAGTTATCAGATGAGCACTCCAATGGATCAGGTGTCCAGCGGAGGCAGCCTGGAGCTTGGGAGGGATGCCAGGAGCCCAGCCTTAACCCGTGCCCATACCCCTGCACCAGAGAAGTTCTGGGTGTTGGCGGTCTGCTTACTGATACCCAGGGGCATCCCCAACTCTGCCAAGAAGCCTGAAGGGGGACCAAATGGAGCCCTAATTTCACCCTTTGGCACTGGGATTCTGATACCACAACAGATACCACAGAAATTCAAAGGATCATCAGGGATTACTTTGATAACAGTTATGCCATGAAACTAGATAACCTAGAAGAAATGGGTATAAGTTTGGACTCCTAAAACTTCCCAAGGTTGAATTAAAAGGAAAGAAAACACTTGGACAGGCTAATTACTATCAAATAAATTAAAATGACAATCAAAAACCCCTCCCCCCATAAAAAAAAACAACAGCCCTGACCCAGGTGAGTTTAATAGTGAGTTCCTACAAATCTTTAAAGATCTACACTCAATCCTTTTCGGGCTCTTTCAGAAATTGAAGAAACAGGAGCATATAATCCCAAACAGCTATTTACCTACATATATAGGTATATTGACCTCCTGGAATTCCACAAAATTACAAATCAGTGATAGGTGAAACACTAAAATGATGTCAAATGGTCAATATATAGCTTTGTGCATTTATCAAAGCCCACGAAATAAACACCTGGAGACTATAGATGTGGATGAGGGATGTCAATGAGGTGTCACTCAAGATAGCCACTCTGGTGCCCAGTATTGAGGGGTTAGTCTAAGCTATCTGGCATTCCCTTCTTCCCACTATTTGTTTTCCTGGGACCCAGGAACTGTTCTAAAAATTCTCATCTGGTTTTAGAAAGATAGAGGATGAAAGACCCAGGTCAGGTAGCAAATGACCAAGTAAAAGTTCCCTGCTAGACCACAACTCCCAAAAGGAGAGAGAGAACACGGGATTGCCCTGCCACAGAGACAGGGGGGATGGGGGGATGGGGGTGGGGGGGATATTATCCATGGTGGTGGAAAATGGGCACTGGTGGAGGGATGGGTATCTGATCATTGTATAATTGAAACCAAAGCACAAAAAATTGTAAATCTACAACTTTAAAAAAAATAAAATAAAATAAAGGGGAAAAAAAAAGTTAAAAAAAAAAAAAAGTTCCCTGCTAAAGTCACTTCCTCTGGGTAGACAGTCCTTAGCAGGATGCTCCTTCCATGCCCACAGGTTGGTCCTTTCTTCTCTCACACAGTCCCAAGGCTAACGCCTCACTCCATGGTCTTGCCACTTTCAATATAATGTAGAAAGCAAATTGTGGACTTAGAATTGGCAAGTTTTGGATGTAAACCTCAGGCATACCCAGGGGAAATTATTTAACTTTTCAGGGTTTCGGTTGTTCCATCTAAAAAATGTGGTGTAAGAGTGTTCATGGTTTGAGGCTGATGTGGAAGTTCAGTGTCTGGACTTAACAGATGGCCTACCCTCCTTCCATTTTCTGCCACTCTGGATGCCATTCCCAGAAATAAATGGTTAAAGACAGAGTGCATTAATCTAAAAATATGAACCTCTAGTTGTAAGGACTTCTCAAGACTAACCACAATCTGGAGTGGATAGACATTTAGAACCCTCCTACTTGTACCACTGCCTCCTCTCTGTGACTATTGGTCATGATAGCTGGAGAACCATGATTCATGCAGTGGACCAGTGAAGGAAGAGATGAACTTCTGAGTCAGAAAGAACCAGGGACTCAAGCTTCAACTCTGTGTGGTTGGTGACATTGATTGGCTTGTTCCCGTTGGGTGATTCATTTAATCACATGAACTTCAGTTTCTTTATATTTAAAGTGCAGAGGATGATAATTGTGTTACTTCATGAGCTATTACGGGGGTTAAATGGGAGATAACACACAAAGAATTCAGCATGATGATTGGCAAGTAGTAAGCGCCCACTCAAACTGTCATTATCATTACTATAATGGGAAGACCTGAAGAACATCTACTAGTTCTGTAATTATAATGCTGCTCTGGGATTCACATAGACTAGATCAAAGTCACTTGTCATCGCTGGGTTTGGTGTTAGTGAAGGGGAAGGGGAGCGTGAAAGCCAGACAATGAAATCACTGCAGTTCTGTGGAACACAGATGATGAGGATAGTGTGAGTCACAGACCCAGTTAGGAAAAAACCTGTCACAAGTCAAAAGTGTTGTTTCTCGTTTAGATACCCTGAATTAGACAGTAGGAAAAGCAAATGGAAGACATAGAGATAAGTTGCATTTAGGGGCAAAAGGTTTTAAATAAAGAACTAATCTGATGATTAAAAAAAAGAATATCCATAAACAAAAGAAAAAGAGAAAGATGAGGATGAATAACATGGAAGCTGGGAACGCTAGGTTGTGAGGAAGCACAGAGGCAGCTTCACCCTAACCTTGAGCTTGCCAAGAACTGGTGACCTTGAGCTTAAAGTCTTTAAAGCTGGATCTAATATACAAGATAAAGACTTGGGCCCCCCAGGCTGCCAAATCTAATAGTCTTTCACATTAGGTGGGAGCTCAAAAGGACTGTGTCCCTCACGTAAAAGTAAGAAATGAGAGCATCCGTCAGGACAATAAGCAAACTTTCCCTTGTCTAAATGAGAGACAATATTCTCTGAAGTCATAACGATAGTGCATCCCTTTTGCAGGTCTTCAGCTCAAATTTCATTCTGTGTCTGCAGCTGGAAACCTGAAAAAATTGAAAGTAATCTTAGGCACCCGTTGTGCCCCCAGACACTGGCAGAAGGAAATGTAAATTACTCAGAGAATGACAATTATTCCCAAGACTCACCGAATTTCCACAGACTGAATTCTAGGGAATTTGTGCTCATAGTCATGAAAAATGGAACCAGGCACAAGAATAGCAGGGGGAAAAAATGACAGATGATAGAAATAAACCTGAAGAGTCTTTAATATCATAATGAATGGATACAGAATATTATATACGTTTGATATATTCATAGAAATTAATGAGCTACTTGGAAATAAGCAAAGAGGTTCTTTGAAGATAAGGAAGGAACAAAGAGGGGTTTTTTTTTTCCTTTTATTGTTTGGGTTTTTTAGGAGGTTCTGGGCCACACCCAGCGATGCTCAGGAGTTACTCCTGGCTCTGCACTCAAGAATTACTCCTGGAAGTGCTCAGGGGACCATACGGGATACTGGGGATTGGCCAGATTGGTCATGTTTAAGGAAGTGACTGATCCACTGTAGTACCACTCTGATTCCAACAAAGGTCAAAGGAAGTTACACAATATTTAAAATACCAAGGAGAATTAAAAAAGAATCAGACAAAATCTCCAGGAACCAGATCTATGGCAAGTGAAATGTGAAATCTAAAACAGATGGTGGCTGCAATAGATTGGAAGGAGCTGAGGAGACGGTCATGAGCTAGAACGTAGGTCTGTAGTAATTAACTTGAATGTGGACCTGAGAGAGAGCAGTGGAATAAGTGAAAGAAGAGTTTAGTAACATGGTGACTAGACTTAGTGCAGATCAGGACAAGAAGACAGAGCTATACCATATCTGAGAATTCGCCACAGTTGTATTAAGCCTTACAACTGTGATGCAAAGTTTTTGTTTTGTTTTGTTTGGGGGCCACACCCAGCAATGCTCAGGAGTTACTCCTGGCTCTGCACTCAGGAATTATTACTGCAATGCTTGGGCTAGCTGCTGTAATATCGCTCCAGACCCCTGATGACTAAATTTCAAGCAGGGTATTCAATTCACCATAAGATAGATCATAGTGAAAATGCAGAACACCAAAGACAAAGGAAATATTATAGATGCAGCTAGAGAGTAGATTGCTGACAATGTCAATTATACTTATGAGCAAAATAGAAGACAATAGAAAATGTGCTCAGAGAGAAATGTCTTAGTTTAAAATCGTATACTTGGAAAAATATTGTTATAGAGGCCAATTAAACTCGTTTCAATACCTTGTTTTGTATAGATTTTATTTTTATTATTTTCCATGCCATTTTTATTGGGGTAGTGTAATTTACAATCAGTGAATTATCCCTTTCACGCACACATTGTCCCAGTGCCACACCTGCCACCTGAGTGCCTGTTTCCCTCCTCCAACAGCCCAGCAGCCCCTCTCATCCACCTCCTCCCTGGTAAGCTTAATTCCACTTTGGGCCAGTTGTTATTCCCTTACTATGTTTCCTATATCCTATATCTATATCCTAATAATGAGAGAGACCTGTGGAGTTGGTGATACCTACAGACATAAAAATGGATAAAGTTAAATTGATACTAAGAAACACTGTCAATCAAATTGATAAAAAAAATTCCAAGATTCCAAAAGCTTTTTATCTTATGCAGATATATAACTTTTAAAAATTGAACAATACTATGCTAATAGTTTTAATTGTTTAC